AAGCAAAATTACATGAAGAAGTGAGCTAAATAAAAATAAGAAAAATAATCATAATTGCTATCTTAAGCCGGTTGTTCAGCTTCAGTTGATATCCTGTAGTAGCCGTGGTGGTGTAATAATCAACGATACTCAAAATGGTCAGCTGCAAGTATTAGCCATTTTTATACCTCATAAATAGACCAGAGGTCAACCACCGATACTTTATGCAACTATTTGCACTAATAATCAGCATTCACACTTGAATCCATAATAACAATTTTTTAGCACTCTTACTATTGCGATGAGAAAACCCGGAAAAACTATAGATTATATAAAAGGTTTAGGTGCACCAAAAACTATTTATTGTTTAGCTATGCTCCTTATAGTTATGCAAAAGCAAAACAAATGATAAATAAGTACCACAGAATTCCACTAAAAAAAAAAAGACATAGCCTTTAGATTTTTCAACTATCAAATTTAACTCCCGCTGTGCTTCCATTGTCATTTGGGGTAATCTGCAACCGTCAAATCTCAACTGAACGTATAAACAGTACGGAAAATCAGGATTAAAAGATTTGTTTTAAAAACCACTGCAAGCATTAACAGTTTATTTATGAGTGGCTTATAATTTCTGTAGGAAAGAAAAGAGGAAAAAAAAAAGGAAAAAAAAACAGATCCAAACAAAAACCTTAGGAAGGCAAAGTAAAAAGATCATAAAATCAACCGATAAGGGATAAAAGACCGTTAGCCTGGTAGCAACAAAGCCTAAACGGTCATTTAAACAGAAGCGCCCCACAGCGAATGATCTGTTGGGCATAAGAAAAGAATTGCGTGTGAAGTTGTTGCTTTTCGGCAAATCTAAGAAAAAGGGACTTTGGCCGGCCAAGAAAAAGCCATCTCAGTTATTGTTGGTTGTAATAGCCTCTATATGCCTATTGTGATGTTGTGTTTGGTCATCCATCCAAGTTGGTTGATGCTGATGATGATGATGATGATGATGTTGATGCTGATGGCGGTGGCGGCAACGGGATACACAATGGTGGTTGGATGGACATTGGTCAGTATTTTAAAGGAAACAAAAGCTAATCACGTAATGTTGTATACAGACATTGTCTTTGCCGACTTAGAAGAAGGCGAAACAACGGCGCCCAGAAAACAACGATTTTTAAAATTATACATATATGAATACATACATATATATACATATATATGTATGAATGTATTCTATTGAAGTTAAGCAATTACCGAGACGACTAATTATGCGTGACCGATATTTGAATGTAAATAGAATGCATTATACAAATTAATACCCCAAACTAACTCCGATTTTTGTTGCAGGTTTTCCACTGGGCAACCCTGAAAAATTATAATTAAGTTTTTGCACTCCACCTCCCCCTTCATTTTCGCATCTATAACAATAACAGTGAAAGAAAGAAAAAGGTAGGTAAAAGTAG